TTTTCGAGCAAATGCGAAGACTCGCATGACTTGAGAAATGCAAAACAGCTGAGTTATTAGAACGAGTTTGCACGGGACGTGTGTGCACATTTTTCGGTTCCGCATCTTAACTTGTAGAAATTTAATTTCAGATAAGACGTTGAGCTGAAAGGATCATGTTTGGTATCACTTTAGAATGATTTTAAATAATATAATATTGTAATGAAACTGTGATAATACYCATCACTTGAAACAATATTATACTGATTTGTTTTGTTAGRGCTAAATAATAATAGAATTATCGCACTCATATTRCATTAAACGTTAWAATGTTTTGTTCAGTTAATAAGAAATTCTATAAATTATGTGTCCCAATACTTTCTGCTACACTCTATACACAATACATACAGACAAGTGTTCGCATCGATCGGTATATCCGAGAATGATAATATCATACGGACAAATGTTTTTCCTTCGGTCGCTACTATTATCATCACCACCGCCATAATCGTCATGATCATCATAATCATACCTTACTCACATATATGTACGATACCTCTACTAAATCGTACACCTTTTTGGTCGACGGGTTAACGAATTTCCATTTTATTTTTTAGTCCACTCGGTTATGAAAAAAAAAATATATCAAAAAACTCTCAGTATTACGCTTTGAATCGGAAGACATATAGGTACTTTAGCAATCGGTGTTCCGATTCTAGTAGGCGCATTTTTTTTTTACCCATTTCCGCGGTATGTAGACTGAATGAGTGCAGTAAACTCGTGACATTGATTTCAGGAGTCATTGTAATTTGGCGATACAGCATCATTATTATGCGTGCGCAGCCACATCGATGTCACRATATAAGACGCTTTTAGGCATATAGTCATAATCTATTTAGTGATAGGTATTTTTATGTCACATAACATTTTGTTTCCTTTCAAATTCTAGCCGGAACAGGAAAGCTTTTTCGGCTCTAAAATGAAGTGTTTTTTTCTTGGAAAACACGGTTTAGCGTWGGTAGGTAGCTAAAATGTTTCACGGATAGCGTCATATAGTACCACATATTTACATGCGTCATTCGACCGAAAATTGATTGCATTACGGGTATGTCAAGGTATCAACGTTTTCAATATTAGTTTCAGGAGGATATAAAAAATAAATCTCCGCCGTCCTTCTATACAATATACAATGTTATAACCTCCATACGAAACCATAAACACAGCCGCTCAAATGACGCGCTCAATGCGTAAGCTGAATGGTKACATTATATATATAGTACAAAATGTTGTC